ACCCTAAAGGGTCACTCTTCTCACCTACAGCCTCTGCTGAATACATGTTTCTTTCTCTACCCTTCTCATCTTAGGGACCTTGTTCACAACAGTAGGATCAGTGGCCTTGGGCCACGAGGAACCAGGAGTAGTGGATGTGGTGCTGGAAGCACGAGACCACGGGGCTCCAGGCCGGGCAGCACGAGCCACAGTTCATGTGCAGCTGCAAGACCAAAATGACCATGCCCCGAGCTTCACGTTGCCACACTATCGTGTGGCTGTGACTGAAGATCTGCCCCCTGGCTCTACCTTGCTCACCCTGGAGGCCACAGATGCTGACAGAAGCCGCACCCATGCTGCCGTGGACTATAGCATCATCAGTGGCAACCGGGGCCACATCTTCCAGCTGGAACCCCGGCTGGCTGAGGCTGGGGAGGGTGTTGGACCAGGCCCCCGGGCACTAGGCTGTCTGGTGCTGCTTGAACCTCTAGACTTTGAAAGCCTGCCACAGTACAATCTAACTGTGGCTGCAGCTGACCGGGGGCAGCCACCACGAAGCTCAGCTGTGCCGGTCACTGTCACCATACTGGATGTCAATGACAACCCACCTGTCTTTACCCAAGCATCCTACCATGTGGCAGTACCTGAGGACACGCCTGTTGGAGCTGAGCTGCTGCATGTGGAGGCCTCCGACGCTGACCCTGGCCCTCACGGCCTCGTGCGTTTCACCCTCAGCTCAGGCGACCCATCAGGGCTCTTTGAGCTGGATGAGAGCTCTGGTGCCTTGCGACTGGCCCATGCCCTGGACTGTGAGACCCAGGCTCGGCATCAGCTTGTAGTGCAGGCTGCCGACCCTGCCAGTGCACACTTTGCTTTGGCACCAGTGACAATCGAGGTCCAGGATGTGAATGACCATGGCCCAGCCTTCCCACTAAACTTGCTCAGCACCAGCCTGGCTGAGAACCAGCCTCCAGGCACTCTTGTGACCACTCTGCATGCAATTGATGGGGATGCTGGAGCTTTTGGTAGGCTCCGCTATAGCCTCTTGGAGGCTGGGCCAGGGCCTGAGGGCCGTGAGGCGTTTGCACTGAACAGCTCAACTGGGGAGTTGCGGGCACGAGTGCCCTTTGACTATGAGCACACAGGAAGCTTCCGGCTGCTGGTGGGTGCTGCCGATGCCGGGAATCTCTCAGCCTCTGTCACTGTGTCAGTGCTGGTGACCGGAGAGGATGAGTATGACCCCGTATTCCTGGCTCCAGCTTTCCACTTCCAAGTGCCAGAAGGTGCCCGGCGTGGCCACAGCCTGGGTCACGTGCAGGCCACAGATGAGGATGGCGGTGCTGATGGCTTGGTGCTCTATTCCCTTGCCTCCCCTTCCCCCTATTTTGGTATCAACCAGACTACAGGTGCCCTATACCTGCGGGTGGACAGTCGGGCACCAGGCAGTGGAACAGCCACCTCTGGGAGTGGGGGCCGGACCCGGCGTGAGGCCCCACGGGAGCTGAGGCTGGAGGTGGTAGCCCGGGGGCCTTTGCCTGGTTCCCGGAGTGCCACAGTGCCCGTGACTGTGGATATCACCCACACTGCACTGGGCCTGGCACCTGACCTCAACCTGCTGTTGGTGGGGGCTGTGGCAGCCTCCTTGGGAGTCGTGGTGGTGCTCGCACTGGCAGCCTTGGTCCTAGGACTTGTTCGGGCCCGTAGCCGCAAGGCTGAGGCAGCCCCTGGCCCAATGTCACAGGCAGCACCCCTAGCCAGTGGCTCCCTACAGAAGCTGGGCCGGGAGCCACCCAGTCCGCCACCCTCAGAGCACCTGTATCACCAGACTCTCCCTAGCTATGGTGGGCCAGGAGCTGGAGGACCCTACCCCCGTGGTGGCTCCCTGGACCCTTCACACTCAAGTGGCCGAGGCTCAGCAGAGGCTGCGGAGGATGACGAGATCCGCATGATTAATGAGTTCCCCCGTGTGGCCAGTGTGGCCTCCTCCCTGGCTGCCCGTGGCCCTGACTCCGGCATCCAGCAGGATGCTGATGGACTGAGTGACACATCCTGCGAGCCACCTGCCCCTGACACCTGGTATAAGGGCCGAAAGGCAGGGCTGCTGCTGCCAGGCACAGGAGCCACTCTGTACCGAGAGGAGGGGCCTCCAACCACTGCCACAGCCTTCCTGGGGGGCTGTGGCCTGAGCCCCGCACCCACTGGGGACTATGGCTTTCCAGCAGATGGCAAGCCATGTGTGGCGGGTGCGCTGACGGCCATTGTGGCGGGCGAGGAAGAGCTCCGTGGCAGCTATAACTGGGACTACCTGCTGAGCTGGTGCCCTCAGTTCCAGCCACTGGCCAGTGTCTTCACAGAGATCGCTCGGCTCAAGGATGAAGCTCGGCCGTGTCCCCCAGCTCCCCGCATTGACCCACCACCCCTCATCACTGCCGTGGCCCACCCAGGAGCCAAGTCTGTGCCCCCAAAGCCAGCAAGTACGGCTGCAGCCCGGGCCATCTTCCCACCGGCCTCTCACCGCTCCCCTATCAGCCATGAAGGCTCTCTGTCCTCAGCTGCCATGTCCCCCAGCTTCTCACCCTCGCTGTCTCCTCTGGCTGCTCGCTCACCTGTTGTCTCGCCATTTGGGGTGGCCCAGGGCCCCTCAGCCTCAGCACTCAGCGCAGAGTCTGGCCTGGAGCCTCCTGATGACACAGAGCTGCACATCTAGCTGTGGCCCAGGCTGGGCCCCGACCTGGGACACGCACAGTGTCCCCAATGCAGGCCCCACTCTGAGCCTGCCCTGGGCAGCCTCGGACCATTACTGGCCACGGGGAGGCCACCACTAGGCCCCAGCTCTCCACCCCAAACTCTCCAGCCTCCTCAGAGCACTGGGACCTTTTGGCTCTTTTGGTCACTGACCTGTGGCCAGGTCCAGTGTGGGGAGAAATATGAAGGAGGTGGCAGCCCTGGGTTCTCCTTGATGAGGGCTTCCTGCCCTGTACCAGCATCCTGAGATGGAGCTGAGACTTTATTTATTGGGGGGTAGGGAGACGGAAGGGGTCCCTCCAACCTGTTTGGGCCCAGCTCCTTTGGGTTCCACTGACACCCCTGCCCCTGCCCAGAACCAAGTGCCAATTCTCACTCTGGAGCCTTAATAAACTGCAGTTTGTATCCAGCCTCTGGCTCTGTTCTGTGGGGATGGCTGGAAGACACCTGGCACAGTATTTGGAAACCTCAGGAGGGAGAGAGGAGTGGGGGACGTGGGTGCATCTAGGCTGGGAGCTCAGGAGCCTGGACTGAGGCTGGTGATACATCTCTCTGCAGTAAATCTTTTCTCTCTAACATGGGCAAGAGGCCAGCTGGGGCTTGGTTGTAGCAGCAACCTAGAAAGGGATCTTAGGGAATGATCAGCTCTAGGCCTGAGGATTTTAAAAGAGGTGGGGGTGGATATAAGAGCAGCCAAGTAGTTTCTTTTTCTTGGGACCACTAAGTACACATACTGTAATAAGAGCTCACGTTTGTTGAGCTTTGCCCCATCAGGTTCTCTGCCAGGTGACCTGCTTGCTTTATCTCAGTGTAAATCTTCACTGTTGCACAATGAGATTTGGGAACCACTGGTGTAGACTATTCTTTGGGGAGCCCAGGAAGTGAGGGAAAGGAGATGAGCCAATGTTTGAGAAGTTCACAGGACCAAGGAAATTACAAAGAAAGAAGGTTGTGGTCAAAGAGAAAGGTTTCAGAGCATGGTGGTAGTAAATACAGTTCCAGGGGCCAAACTCAGTGGAAAATGTTGGGTTCAGAGAAAAGTGAAGGGATCAAGGGACAGGAAGAAGTTAGATTAATTTTAATGGGAGTGAGAAAATGCAACAGCTTGAAAAAACAGAAGGTTATAGTCTGAGAAAGGATGCTATAATTTCGAAGGTAGAGCAGTTCTGAGAGATGGCAAGTCCAAAGTATAGCATGGGACTGGTTTGCTTAAGTGAAGTGAAGGTAATGCTCATTGGGTTTGATGAGATGAAAGAAATGGGAGGTTGGGGTGTTGAATAGGTCTCTCACTAATATATTTTAATTGTCTAGGTCAAATGATAGCAGGAGTTGGAGTAGACAGAAAGGCCAGGTGCCAAAATCCTCAGTGTGGGGCTAAATCTAGAGGACAATAGATGGTAATGACCTGTAGGATAACAGCAAGAGTAGAGGGATATATCTCAAAAGTATGGAGGTCAGAACAAGGATTTTAATGAGTACTGGACTAATGGTTTTGGAAGTTAAAATTATACTGTTGACACTGTCTTCTGCATGGATTTTTGGAAGAAAGAACACTGAGGAAGATTGCAAGGGAAGTTGAGTCCTCAGGGTTTCAAGTCTCATTGAAAATCGTCTGGTAAAGACCACAAATAGAAGTGGTCAACTCAGACCTCCTTAAGGGCTTTGAGTTATGATTAAGAAGAAACAGAGGTCTGGATTCATTTTATCCACTGAGCCCACTGAACATTGATATAAGATTCTTCCATGGCTCTTGGAACAAAATTGTTTTTCTTGAAAACCTTGGGAACCCATAAAAAATAGGGCCCCAACTGATTATAGATCTCCTGGAAAGCCATTGAAAACAAGACCCTGATTTGAATAAAAGGATCCTGACCTTTCAAAGGCTCCAGTCTGCTCATAAATTTAGTCTTAGAATGAGCATGAAACTGATAATATGGGGAGACAGGGTAGGGAAGGAGGGAAAAATATTGTTTTCCACTGCAACCCTATGAACCAGATCACTTTTATATAATAACGTCTGCATTATAAATGAAGAAACCTAGGCTCTGAGAGGTTAAGTTACTTCCCTGATACCATACAACTAGGAAGAACCGAGGTCTGTGGGCCTCCGGAGCCCACTTCCTTGTGGTGATTCTCACGCGGCCGGACTCAGGCAGCAGGTGAGGAGCCCTGGGCTTACCCTGTGCTTGACTGTCCAGAGAGGGAGAATCCCAGTGGCAGCCCCACTCTTTGCCAGCATTCAGGACAACCCATTCAAGGGTGGAGCCAGTACCCTACGTCACTAGTTACCAGGGAAAGAATGAGGGTGCTCATGTGATCCGTCACATGACAGCAGATCTACAGAAAGACGGAATGGGACTCCGAGCCTGGTGAGAAATTAGGGGGTCCTGGGAAAAGGGGAATCACATTGGAGGGAGTACATGTTGGAGGGTGGGAACACAATGACGATCCAGCTTCTGCTGAAATCCACCTGCCGCCCCCTACAGCCTCCTAGGGCTCCTTGCCCTCATCCTCTCTGGCAGATGCAGTTACAGCCCGGAGCCCGACCAACGGAGAACGTGAGTTGACTTAGCACCGACCGTCCCCTTCCCGATGTTCTGTTCTGCTCCCACTATCCTGGTTCCTGGCTCCCCTCATCTCCGTACCAGGAGCTATCCCACACCATAGACTTATCCCCAGGTTCCCAGGCTCAGTCCCCTATCATTTACCTACTGTGATCCATATCTGCATCTAGGTCTCAGTTCCTAATCTAAAACCTTAATATCCAGTATTTTCCATCCCTACCCTAACCAAAGCCATGTCTCTGACCCCTGATCCTGCAGGCTTCCCCCAGGCTGGGTGTCCCTGGGCCGTGCGGACCCTGAGGAAGAGCTGAGTCTTACATTTGCCCTGAGACAGCAGAACTTGGAGAGACTCTCGGAGCTGGTGCAGGCTGTGTCGGATCCCAGCTCTCCTCACTATGGTGCCTGTCGGGATTGGGGATGGGATATGGGAAACAATGGGGAGACACAGGGCTGGGCTGGGCATGGGACACTGTAGATCATGTCACAGTCATGTCTCAGGGCCTGTGAGGGCCTGCCAAACACCTATGTTCCTTAGGCTAAAAACCTAAAAGTGGATGTGGTTCGGAGTACATGATCTGATCTGGATTCAAATTTTGACTCTACCACTTACTAGCTACCAGACAAACGGGGAAATGTCATCTACTACATATAGGTGTTCATCAACTCAAGTTCCTCCTCCGACCCTTGAATCTACTCCTATTTTGTCCTTCGTTCACTAAGGCTGCTAGTTCCAATTCCTACAGAGCACGTCCTTAGACTAGTCTACTTGCCATTCTCTTTGCCACCAACTCAGTTGTTTATTCCTTCTCCTGGACTACTGCCCAGTCCCCTGACTGGTCTGCAGTCTCCTCCTTCCTCCCCACTCCCCACAGCACTCCCCACTCTGCTTCAAAACAGTCTTTCCAATGTTCAAACTGTCTTGTCTCCTTCCCCTGTTAAAGCCCTTCACGGCAGGGGGAGTGTGTGTGTGTGTGTGTGTGTGTGTGTGTGTGTGTACGGTGGAGGTGGGTGATATAGGCAGCCTAAAAGTCACCCAAGAGGTGAGCACTAGTGTGCATGGCTCCATGCAGGAAACAGTGACTCACCTTCATGTTAAGTTTGAAATCAACACGTGTGAAGACTTGAGCTAAATTAGATGTTATCTTATAGTTGGCTCCAAAAGTTTTGAAAAAGTTGACTGGAGATAAACTTAAAATGCAAAATTTAAATTTATTTTTCATGAGCATGGCAGTGCATGCTGTTGTACAGCATTTGCAACTTACTGGCTTTAGGGTAAATCCATATTCTTGGGCATGGCATTCCAAGTCTCTCTAGCTTTTTCTTCCCCTGCCCCCCAAATATACCCTACACCTGCACAGTCTTCCTTTACCCTGCTTCAGGCTCCCTAGGAAGTCCCAATGTCTCATGGTTGAGGTCCAAAGTGGGCAACTTGGAAAAGCAATGAATGAAGGCAAAAGCCTCTTCTGAATCCCTGCAGGAAAATACCTAACCCTAGAGGATGTGGCTGAGCTGGTCCAGCCATCACCACTGACCCTCCGCACAGTCCAAAAATGGCTCTTGGAAGCTGGAGCCCGGAACTGCCATTCGGTGACCACACAGGACTTTCTGACTTGCTGGCTAAGTGTCCGGTGAGAGGGATTGATTGCTACCCATGGCACCAATCAACCCATCAGGGAGACTAGTCACCCCAGTGGGAGGGAGCTAAGAGCTTGCTGGGGACTTGCGGGTCAGATTTAATGCATGGGGAGACAATGACTGACTGCCCAGTGATGCTCAGGCAGTGCCTTCTGCTCCATTCTGTGCTTTCTGACCTCTGTCCTCCCATTTCTGACCTCCAGACAGGCAGAGCTGCTGCTCTCTGGGGCTGAGTTTCATCACTATGTGGGAGGAGCTGCAGAGACCCATGTTGTAAGGTCCCCACGTCCCTACCAGCTCCCACAGGCCTTGGCCCCCCACGTGGACTTCGGTAATGCACAGTGGGTTTGGTGGGGTTCGGGAAGACAGATCCAGGGGCTGGAGAAGTTTAGATGCCCTGGGGGACTTGGGGTGGGATCAGTGGTAAAGTGGGTGTTGGAGTCTACAGGATCTCCTCAAGCCTGACCCCTCCCTACAGTGGGAGGACTGCACCGTTTCCCTCCCATGTCATCCCTGAGGCAACGCCCTCAGCCACAGGTGGCAGGGACTGTTGGCCTGCATCTGGGGGTGACCCCATCTGTGATCCGTAAGCGATACAACTTGACAGCACAAGACGTGGGCTCTGGCACCAGCAATAACAGCCAGGCCTGTGCCCAGGTGAGCCAAGCAGAGAGCCCCAGGGTTCTCACAGCCTCCCCATGGTTTCCTCAGTGCCTTACCACCCTGGGACTTGCTCTCTGACTCATGATCCCTGCTCTGACTCACTCCACAGTTCCTGGAGCAGTATTTCCATGGCTCAGACTTGGCCGAGTTCATGCGCCTCTTTGGTGGCAAATTTGTACACCAGGCATCAGTAGCCCGTGTGATTGGACAGCAGGGCCGGGGCAGGGCTGGAATTGAGGCCAGTCTAGATGTGCAGTACCTGATGAGCGCTGGTGCCAACATCTCCACCTGGGTCTACAGTAATGCTGGTACTGCCAAGGGGACTGACTGGTGGGGAAGAGGTGGGAGATGGGTGTTGATCCATGCTCCCTCAAGGGAATGCCATGAGCTGGAGAGAGATCCTGATAACCCTCCAATGATTACCCTTGTGCCCATCCCCTCAAAAAAACAATCCAGGCCGGCATGAGGGGCAGGAGCCCTTCCTGCAGTGGCTCCTGCTGCTCAGTAATGAGTCAGCCCTGCCACATGTGCACACCGTGAGCTATGGAGATGACGAAGATTCACTCAGCAGAGCCTACCTCCAGCGGGTCAACACTGAGTTCATGAAGGCTGCCGCTCGGGGTCTCACCCTGCTCTTTGCCTCAGGTGACCTCCTGCCCTAAACTTAGAACCATCCCCCTTGCCCACCCACCCTGGGAGCTTTGACTCCACAGTGACCCCTGAGCCTCATCTCTGAATCATAATCTGAACCCAGACCTGACCTCCAAACTCTGACATCATGCGGTAACGACTAAAACCTGAATTTCCTCTCTGACATCTGAACCCACATACCAAGCTCTGCTCAATTAATATGACTGCTGAACTTGGTTTCTTTCCAGGTGACAGTGGGGCTGGGTGTTGGTCTGTCTCTGGAAGACACCAGTTCCGTCCTAGCTTCCCCGCCTCCAGGTAAGCACCCTAGCCCACCACTCACCTGTGACCACAACCTTTTATCTGTGATTTCATGATCTAGAACCTTTGTCTTAACCCTACCAGGTGTTCCTGTGGCTCAGCCCTCAGCTTTACCCACCCTGGTTGCTGTACTCCCCTCTCTTCTTCTTATAGTTCCCAGGCCCCAAGTCTCCTAAGTGGGATACAGCTCCCATTGTTCCTTTTCCTAGGTCCCCAGGCATTTTGGTGGAAGACTGGGTGGGTGTTCTGTAGAGAAAAGTTTGCAGTCATCTCAAGCCATGCCTTGAGGGCTCCAAATCTTAGTCATCTAGGCCTGGTGGCTCATGCCTCCCAGCACTTTGGAAGGCCAAGGTGGGAGGACCACATGAGGCCAGGAGATCAGACCAGCCTGGGAAACTTAGCAAGTTCTCGTCTCTACAGAACAATTAAAAAAATTAGGTGGGCATGGTGGTGCACACCTGTAGCCCCAGCTACTCAGGAGGCTGAGGCAGGATAATCACTTGAACTCAGGAGTTTGAGACTGCAGTGAGCTATGATTGCACCCTTGCATTCCAGCCCGAGTGACAGAGTGAAACCCTGTCTCTTAAAAAGCAAAAACAAAAACAAAGCAAAACAAAACAATCCCTCTTAGTCAATCCCATGTATATGCTTCCCGGAAGAGTCTACCAGGTGTCCTCAAACTACCGCCTGTGCGCCTCGTGCTTCCTGCCTAGGACATTTATCAGGCCGGCCGCGTGTTTTTGCCACCACTGCCTGTCCTGCTTAGCAGCCGACTTGTCCTGGGCCCACAGTGAGCACTCTCCAATGGTCTGAGGGACAGTGAACTGGCCCCCTGTTTAAAAAGTTTGAGGACTCCTGGTCTAGCCTCTTCAGGAAGACCCAGGCCATACTCACCCATCCCCACACATCTTAGAGGGTCCCCTACTATCTGAATGCTGTCTTCTGCCCTCAGCCCTTATGTCACCACAGTGGGTGGTACATCCTTCCAGAATCCTTTCCTCATCACAAATGAGATTGTTGACTATATCAGTGGTGGTGGCTTTAGCAATGTGTTTCCACGGCCTTCATACCAGGTATGTGTATATTTGTGTGGCTGGATGGGTGTGAGAGTAGGGATGGGGGATCCTCAGTTCAGCAGACTCCTGGGCAGGCCACAGGCCAATACTCACTCAAAAATGCCTTTCAGGAGGAAGCTGTAGCCCAGTTCCTGAGCTCTAGTCCCCACCTTCCACCATCCAGTTACTTCAATGCTAGTGGCCGTGCCTACCCAGATGTGGCTGCGCTCTCTGATGGCTACTGGGTGGTCAGCAACAGTGTGCCCATTCCATGGGTGTCTGGCACCTCGGTGAGAATCAGCCTGTCTCCAAACTCCCACTCAGCAAGTACCTTCACCCCTTATGCTGGAGACCTTGCACCCAGAACCCCTGACTCCTTAGAGACCTCTGATCCTTTTAAACATCACTCCCCAAAAGTCCAATCACTCTGAACCCCTGACCTCTACTTATACCCTCACCCTTGCAGGCCTCCACTCCAGTGTTTGGGGGACTGCTGTCCTTGATAAATGAACACAGAATCCTCAGTGGCCGCCCCCCTCTTGGCTTTCTCAATCCAAGGCTCTACCAGCAGCGTGGGGCAGGACTCTTTGATGTGAGTGTGGAAGGAAAGGGTGTGGATATTTTCATACCACTATGGGGAATGCTAAGATGAATTTGGGGGTAGTTCTGACAGTGTGGGACAGCCTCTGAAACATGAATACAGGGTGAGGAGGTATAGTCTATTAGTACTGCTATCAGCAGGCCCAGATCTGATGCCTACCTTCTCCCTAGGTAACCCATGGCTGCCATGAGTCCTGTCTAAATGACGAGGTGGAGGGTCAGGGTTTCTGCTCTGGTGCTGGCTGGGATCCTGTGACAGGTTGGGGAACACCCAACTTCCCAGCTCTGCTGAAGACACTGCTCAACCCTTGACCTTCCCTGGCAGGGCAACCTGTCCCCTGCCCTGTAGCTATTGGTTCAGTCCCTTATTCTGCCCCATTGCAAGCTCTGCTGAACCCTCAACTGTTGACTGCTGCAGACGGATTATCTCCCAGACCCGGAAATGCTGTGAGCTTGATTTGACTCCCAACCCTATCATGCTCCATCACACTCAGGTCTCCCTACTCCTGCTCAGGTTCCTCAACAAGATGGTATAACTAACATTTTTGGCTACCCCTTCCCCCCATCTTACCTTATTCTTTTCAATCAGGCTTTTCCAAAGGATTCTCTACACTGACCATGTGTACTATTTCACTTTATGTTCACTTCTCAATTCACTGCAATGAGACCCCTGCTCTCCCCTGTTGCTGTTTCCTACCCTGACACCAAGAAACAATAGCCCCCAGTGCACACTTCTCAATCTTTGCTTTATGGCCTTTCCATCACAGTTGTCTACCCGCTCTCCTTCCTTAGCTTCCAGGGCTTAGCTTCTCTTATCACTCCTATCTTCCTCCTTCATAGACTTCTTTCTCTGCTTCCTCCTGGAATACTGGTTGTTCTCCATTGCTCCATCCTTAGTCTTTTCCTCTTCTCCCTTTAATCATTGTTCCCTGGAACAAATCACTGACATCCACAGCCATCACCACCTCACTGAATCAGACTTTCTAACCAATAGTGATAGATACCTCAAATATAAGATGTGTGATACTTAACACTTCATCTTTCTCCTTCCGAAGCCCAAGATATTCCACCTCGTTTTGTCTTGGCAAATGATAGGATGCCAAGCCAAAGGTAACCAAGCCAGAAACTTATATCATCCTTGACTCCCATTTATCTTATCAATCCACAAGTCCTTTAATTATATTTCCTAAGTATATCTAGAACTTCTCCACTTCTCTCCATCCCTACTGCTATTACATTAGTTTAAAGCCATATTCTCTCTCATCTGAATTATAGGAGGCCCTTGCAAAAACAGTGTTCTTACTCCCTACCAGTCCCTAAGCCATCTTCCAGAGTAAAATGCAAATCCCATCAGGCCATTTACTTGATTAAAAACCTTCAAATATTAACCCAGTAATCTTTGGATTAAAGATCAGGCTTTTTTTAAAAAAAAAAATTATGGTTCACTTTCCTTGCTATTTATTCCTGAGTAACTAATTATTTTTCCTCTCCCATCCCTAACATTCAAGAAACTCTCACCCTTGCTGTCCATTTAACACCATCACTGATACAACTGCCTGGTTGATTTCCAGGATTCTTTCAAGACTTAGCTGAGAAGTCATCTCTTGTGAACGTTTTTATTCCCTGAGATTAATTGATTTAGGTGTGGCAGAAAAATCCTAGATTTTCAAAACCAATCCTCTTTGAATCTTGATTGTGATATAGACTAGGAGAGAGCCTTGAGCAAATAAGTTTATCTCCGTGAGCCTGTTTCCTCATCTGTTAAATGGGAATTTCAGTGCCTGCCTTTCATAATAATCAGGGAATAATGTTGGTAGAGTGCCTGACATTTGGAAGTAGGCAGATGTTAGTTCCCATACTCCCTTGCACTGCACACCCCGTGCCTACCTCTAGCATTTGTAATGACAATGTAGTATTGAAATTGCCAGTTTACTTGTTTGCCTCCCTTTCCAAGACCATCGGTGCCTAGAGGACTAGAATCTTGTCCTACTTAACTTTGTATTCCCAGGCCCTAGCTCAAGAGTTGGCAAATAATAATTAAATAAATGTCTGAATAGAAAACCTCACGCCTTTCACTCGCAGTGATATTTGCAGGTTGTTTACTCTGGCCAAAATCCCGCCCCCTCCACGCTGTGTGCCACCCTTCTGCTGCCCTCACCTCTCGGGGCAGTTGGCCCGGAGGGGGGCTTTCCGAATCAACTATAAACCCCTAAAAGGGTAAATAAGGGAACCAGAAAGAATGCAGACTGATAGGCAATCCGTAATCAAGGCATGTCGGACCGATGAGCCCCAAAGCAAGGCCTTTGAGCATCAGGCTGAATGAGGTGTCTCAGACCCACAGAGGAGTCCCAGACGTGCCCACCGCGGCGGAATCCCAAAGGAGCACTGGGGGAGGGCGGAATGGCGACGGCAGCGCAGTTCCTCAGGGCTTGGTCTCCGCCCTTCAGTCTGTTTCATCCAACTGGTATCCACAAGAGGCGGGAAGCAGGAATGAGAGAGCTAACGCTGGGACGGGCGGGGCGAGTCAAGGAGCGCGTGACGTCACCCGGGTGTGCGTAACGTGGGCGGAAGCGGAAGCGGCTCTGTTCGCCGCCTCTCCCACCGGCCCGATGAGCTGCAGCGGCTCCGGCGCGGACCCCGAACCGGCGCCGGCCTCCGCCGCTTCGGCCCCGGGCCCAGCGCCCCCGGTGTCGGCTCCCACCGCGCTGCCCGCCAGTACCGCCGCAGAAAACAAGGCCAGCCCCGCGGGGACAGCGGGGGGACCTGGGGCTGGAGCCACGGCTGGGGGCACGGGACCATTGGCGGCGCGGGCCGGGGAGCCAGCCGAGCGGCGCGGGGCGGGTGAGGGCCGGGACGGGTGAGGGTGAGGGAATCGCCCTGGACTGGGCCTAGCGGCGGGTGAGGGCAGAGGGTGTAAGGCGGACCTAGCTGGGGCCCTGCACCTCCCACCTCCGTGTCTCAGTTTGCTGGTTCTCCTATAGCTCCGGTGTCGGCGGGCGGCGCGGCGCCCCCAGAGGGGCCCATGTCTAACGGGGTTTACGTACTGCCCAGCGCGGCCAACGGAGACGTGAAGCCAGTGGTGTCCAGCACGCCTCTGGTGGACTTCTTAATGCAGCTTGAGGATTACACGCCTACGGTGGGCTTTCTGCCTGAACAAGGCCATCTAGCCTGCTGTCATGCCAACTTTGAGCCACATCTCCGTGTTTTTCAGCGTCTTCGTCTTATATTTGCTTCCCTACTAGCTCTTATGATTTTTTGTCCCTCTCTACCTACCCAAGCTGTGAGCTTCCCGATAACTAAGCTTATCTTCCATTTCCCTCATCCTCATCTCACTCTGAGCTCAGCAGGGCATAGGGCTAACAATGACAGTTGTCTAATTGATTTCTCAGATCCCTGATGCAGTGACTGGTTACTATCTGAACCGTGCTGGCTTTGAGGCTTCAGACCCACGCATGTGAGTAAACCCAGGGCTGGTTAGAGCTTTTGGTGCTTGTGTAGGAATTGTTGTCCATCTTCTTCTCATACCATTTCTTTCCCTCTAGAATTCGGCTCATCTCCCTAGCTGCCCAGAAATTCATCTCAGATATTGCCAACGATGCCCTACAGCACTGCAAAATGAAGGGCACAGCCTCTGGCAGCTCCCGGAGCAAGAGCAAGGTGGGAGGGGAGGCTCACTGAGTCAGTAATTCTTCTCCACAGTAGTGGAGGCTTAACTTATGCTGAAACCCCTTTGGGAAAACAGTCTTAGGGGAGGTGTAAGACCTACTCAGGGTCACCCATCTGGGATTGAAGCCTGGGATTCTGGTGCTCAGTTGGTGTTCTTCCCTCTTCCCTCAGGACCGCAAGTACACTCTAACCATGGAAGACTTGACCCCTGCCCTCAGCGAGTATGGCATCAATGTGAAGAAGCCGCACTACTTCACCTGAGCCACCCAACATAAATGTACTTGTCGTCCCCATGTCCCCACACCAGCCTGTTTTCATAATAAACTTTATTGTGACAGGCGGGGCTGATCTCTCCCATGTTGGGAGACACCGTGTGGCAAGTGACAAAGCTCTGAGCCCAGGCCCTTTTGGGGCCACAGTGTAAGGGATGGGGGCAGGGGATGGGCCCCATGGCTGGGGTAGTACCATGACTGGCGGCAGGGGAGGCAACCAGAAGCCTGCTGCTTTGGGGAGGTGCACTCCCCCAACCATGTCCTGACATCTCCGGAGTTTAGGCAAGGACCTTCCAGTCCTACTTGTCCTGCATCTTCTCCAGGATAGGCACAATCATGTCAAATTTGGGTCGCTTAGCAGGGTCTTCATTCATGCAGATCTTCATGAGCTTACACACATGGGGAGAAATACCTGGTGGGATAGTAGGCCGAAGGCCTTCCAGTGCCACCTGTCAATACAAGGAAAAAATGAGCCTCAGAGTCTGTCATGTAAGGAGAAGCCTCTGGCCCTTGGGACAGAATTACTATATATTTGAACAAATGTGGGAGGAACCCAGGCCCACTATAATTATTGTCACCAACGCCACTCTTCCTGAAACATGAGTGTATGCAGTTCTGCTCTCACCTTCATTCCAATCTCCATATTGGAGAGGTCAGCAAAGGGTACTTCCCGTGTCACCAGTTCCCACAGAAGCACTGCAAAACTCCACATGTCTGCTGACCGTCTGTTTGTGTCTTCAGGCTTCTTCTGCAGAGCTGGAAGGATAGGGCTTATCTACCTGGCCTGTTCTGTGTCTGCCCCCTTGCACTACTACTGAGCTGGTCCTTCTCCACCTCCCAACACAATGCCTTCACCCACCTTCAGGGGCTACCCAGGCAGGTGCATACATGCGTCCAGGGCACTGGAAAGAGAACTTGACATCGGCCATGCTGATTCTGGCAGTCATGTCCTCATCAATCTGAGGAAGAGAAGATGGATATGTGGAAGGAGATAAGTCCTAGATAGGTCAAGGGCTTTTGGGGCCTGATCCAGGAACAAACTTGTGGCCTTACCATTACACTACGGCTATTAAGTGCATGTCTCGGAATGAGAGGCTCTAATGTGTGAAGGAAGGCCATGCCCCTTGCCATATCCAAAGCAAACTTCACAGCCTGGCTCTGGTCCACAACAAAATCTAAGGAGGTAAGAGTCAGTTCAGAGAGGCTTAGTAACCCTTTCTCCTCTCCTCTCCCCTCCCCTATGAGATTCAGCATCTCTACTCACTGGTGCCTTCATGTAGTACATTGTAGAGGGATCCATATGGCATCCAGTGTGTGATTAGGGTGGGGTGAGGAGCAGGTGGAGATTGGCAGGCACCTAACACCGGGAGCACATTTGGATGCGAGAAAATCCTGGAAGAGGGAGAGAATGGCTGACATCCAACATAAAAGATCTCCCGTCTCAGTGCTATTCAGGGTTCCTTGGAATTAGTAGCTTCCAGTTTGGGCCTTGTCCTACCTGAGCCGAGGACATTCCTCATTGAAGTCCCTGCTCTTCCTTGTACTCCAGTCTCGAACCTTCAGCACCTTAATGACAATGTCATTCCCCTGCCAGCGGCCTTTCCATAGCTAAAGGACAGGATTAGGAGGCTTGAACTAAGGCCACCAATTCCTTGCCCACTGACTGAAAGAAAAACTTAAAACAGGTGCAGAGCAGGTAATTTATGGGGGTTTAGGGAGGGAGGGCAAGAAGAGCAGGGGTCACCTCTCCAGAGTGATTTTCGTTGAGCTTTGCCAGGAAGTTGAGCTGTTTGAAGTCAATGCCGGAGTGTTTGTTCAGAGTTCCATTTCCTGAGAGAGTGTGCAGGTCAGGTGCCCAGCTTTGCCCTAACCCAGCCCCAGGAGCTCAGAATTACTCCTTTCTACAACCCCTCCTCCCAGCAATAGTGACTCACGGGGCCGAGTGCGGGTGGTCCCCTTCCAGAATGTGTCCTTGTATGGAATACGGTTGAGATTCTGGCCCATCTTCTCTGCCCGCTCTGGGGAAGAAAAACAGTCTCAGAGTTGGGTGCAGTGGCTGACACCTATAAGCCTAACACTCTGGGAGGCTGAGGTGGGAGGACTGCTTAAGCTCAGGAGTTCAAGAGCAGCCTGAGCAACAGTGAGACCCCCATCTCTACTAAAAATAGAAAATTAGCTGAGTGTCGTGGTATGTGCCTATAGTCCCAGCTACTTGGGAAGTAGAGGCAGGAGGATTGCTTGAGCTCAGGAGTTTGAGTTTGCAGTGAGCTAGGATGATGCCACCATACTCTACACCAGGTGATGGAGGGAGACTGCCTCCAAAAGAAAACACAAACAAAAAACAAAAAAACCAGTCTCTGGCCGGGTGTGGTGGCTCACGCCTGTAATCCTAACACTCTGGGAGATCGAGGCTAGTGGATTGCTCAAAGTCAGGAGTTCGAAACCAGCCTGAGCAAGAGCGAGACCCCATCTCTACTAAAAATAGAAAGAAATTAACTGACTAACTAAAAATATATAGAAAAAACTAGTCGGGCATGATGGCGTGTGCCTGTAGTCCCAGCTACTTGGGAGGCTAAGGCAGGAGGATCCCTTGAGCTCAGGAGTTTGAGGTTGCTGTGAGCTATGCTGATGCCACAGCACTCTAGCCCTGGCAACAGAATGAGACTCTGTCTCAAACAAAACAAAAAAAACCAAAAAGCAAACCAGTCTCAGCCTGAGCTGTGGTATGGAGGAACTGAAGAGAGAAATCAGGCAGGGGAGGAATGAGAGGAGAACACAAACTGGGAAGCAGGGAATGGACCTCGGAGAAGCTCTCTGAGGGGGGCCTTGGCTTTGTCCACAGGCATCTCTCCATACTTGTTACAGATGCTGACAAGGGCTCCATTTGCTACCAGGTCCTGGAATGAAAAGGTGGTTGTGATGAGGGCCCCTGGTACTTCCCCTGACAGTCACAACCAACCATGAACATACACATGCAGTACACAACCCTATGAGTGTCACATAGTAGTACTGACAGGATGGCTTGAGGGTTCCAAAATCTCCCACTCAGGCTCAGATTTTGCTTCCTACCTATCCTAGGACTCAGAGCCTGAGTACTCACCTCTGCCACCTGGTCTTGGCCCCAAAAACAGGCATAGTGCAGGGGCACATTCCCATGCTCATTCACTGCATTGATGTCAGCTTTGTACTGCAACAGCTGGGTCCCATGGCCAAACAAAAAGAAGAGGCAGAAGGCACAGTCAGTCCCGAATAAGATACTGGTGTCAGGGAATTGCAAAAGGGAAAAGAGTATACATACCTTCTACTGTATGTTATAGTGCCTGTGACTGACCTCATGGCATGTATGTGATGTGCGTGACAGGTTCATACGTACCTTCTGTACAATATCACGGTGTCCATGACTGGCTGCCAGGTGCAGAGGGGTGTCATCCCCACGGTTCATTACATTGATCCGTGCCCCCCGCATGATCAGCATCTCAACCACAGCAGAGCGGCCCTCTCGGCAGGCCCAGTGCAACGGGGAGAAGCCATGATCGTCCCTTTGAGGAAGGGGCAATGGTCATTGAGCTGGAGGCGGGATGGGCCAAAGGCTTTGATTACTGAAAAACTGTTACTCTGCATACTCTCTGGGAAGGCTTACCTCTCTAGGACTTCCTTCATGCTAGCAACTCCCAAAGCTGTCCAATTCAGACCTTTCCCTGAGCTTCAGACCCAACCAACCACCTAGATATCCCAACAACTCATTATAATAAGATTCATTATCTTTACCACCTTCTCCGACACCTTATTTCATTAATAATGTGATAGCACTCTTTCCCCTGTACCCTTTCTGCAACATCTACTGGTCCTTTCTGGTTTTCACTGCATCTTGTACATCCCCCTGCTGTAGCACTTGTCACATAGGGTTGTAAAAATCTGGGCTGTACTTGTCTGTTAGACTATACACTTCTTGAGGGAATGGATTGACAGAGGGTGTACAGTGCATGTTAATGGGGGTATCTTGGAGAATGAAGGTCACAGCTCAAGGGAGAGGAAGCAAGCTTATTGTTTGGCCCTGGAACTGAAAATAACATCTAAAAATGGAATGGAATTTAAGTGATGTTTTGGAAGGATTTATGTTGAAAAGAGAAATACTTTTGATTACTGATGAGGCAGATAACAAACCACCACACAAAACAGGAGTTCCCTACTTAACAATCCTGGCATGGAAAACAGAAGAAAATGAGAATGGCTGCTTCAGAATGAAAACTATACCTGACCTTTTTCTTTTCCCAAAGACATATATTTTATAAAGTAAAAGAACTGTAAAAACAAAACAAAACAAAACAATTGAGTTGGAACTAGGCCTGCCTGACAGCCTGGGGCCATAAAAGGAAATTCCCTCTAGTCAGGAGCTGCAGTTCCAAGGGGCGGAGCAGGAGGCGGTCCATGGCCTAGGCAGGCTGCCTCCAGATGCCTAAGTGCTGTGGTCACTTCCCCTGTGGGGGCTCTAGGCAGGGCCTGGAGCTGATCAGGGGTCTGGACACCCAGATGCCCCCACAGCCAAAAAGGGGTAGGGGTGTGGCTTTGAACTTAATCATTTCCTTCCCCAGCTTGCATTCAGCTGCTCACACAGAAATAGCCAAAAGCTTTCCTCAGAGGAGGGTATCCCCAGGAAGCAGTTACATCCCATTTATCAATCAGTCTTGCCTCCCAGACCTTTAATTTGTGCCCTGCCTTATCAACTTCTAGTACTGCCTGTGGCCCCAGAGCAGACCAAAGCCTGGAGGCAAAAGTATGGGTACAAAAGTATGTGTTCACTGTCAGGCTGCCACCTCAAGGCCTGGTCTTCTTTCTCAAGGAGACTCGCAGAGAATTAACCAGCTCTTCATATCTAGCATATATCCATCTTGGACCCCCATACCTTAACCCCTCAAAGCAGCACCAAAACCTTCCAGTTTCATTAATACCACCCCTTTGCCTTTTGGCAGCAACTTCCTAGATGCTAGCTTACTGGACAACTCTGCCTAAGCCTCTATTTCGTCACCAACAAAACAGTAAAAGTGCTTATTATCTTTATCAGAGCACTCTTAGAGTTATATAAAAAAATGGACTTTGCAAATTATTAGGGAAAAATAGTGTAGAGTCTAATGGGAACCAGTAAAGCCTGGACTAAGATGACAGGTGATCCTTACCTCTCAAACCTAAAAACTAAACTCTACCAACATTAAAAAATAAAAAATTAAAATCCACCACCCTGAATCGCCATCACTATTGCTTTTCTTGTCTCCCTATCTCAGCCAGCCTTAAAGAACTTGTCTGCATTCACTTTCTGTATTTCCTCACCTCCCATTCACTTTTCAACCTGCCATCAATCTGCTGCCTTGAGGGCAGAGATTATGTCTGATTCTTGGACTCTAGCACCCAGCACAGGAGGTGTTCAGTATAGTCCCTTAAATGAAGGAACTCAATGTAGTCTGGTTTCATCTGTTATTCCTCTGAAACAGCACTTACAGAGATCATCAGATATATCCTAATTGTAAATTCAATGGTTACTTTAAAGTATTCATGTTCTTTGACTTCACAGTAGCCTTATTACTGTTGACCATTCCCCCTTCATTAAAACATTTTCTTCTCTAAGCTTTACTCACACATTTTCCTATTTCTCCTTCATCTTGTAGCTTGTCTCCTGCCCTCTTGTCTTCCACTTTTCTGAGGCACTGTCCTTTACACCCATGTCTTTAGTTATCATCTATATGCTGATAGTTCCCAAATCTTGTGTCTCCAAGTCAGATCTCTCCTGAACTGCAACTCTGCATAACCAACAACCTACTCAGCATTTCCACATTGCTGCACTGTCACCTAACTTTAACATGTCTGGAATAGAACACTTCATCCTCCTTCAGCTTTCTCCATCTCAGTAAAAACAACCACCGTCTATCTAAGTGTCCAAGCCAGAACCTTGGTCATCATATTTGCCCTTCTTCAATTCCCACACTAAGTCCCCCAATACTTCATTCTAAAGACTTCTGGAATCTGATTACTTCTCTCTTTTTCACCTACCCCATTTGCAGTCCAAAACATCATCACTTCTAGGATAGACTAGGTAGTTGCCTCCTTCCCCCCTGCTCTTCACAAAGCATCCAAGATGATATTGAACAAATGGACAATTTCGTCATATCACTAAACAGCTTTAAAACCTTGCTCTTAGAATAAAGACCTTATTATAGCCTAAATATGCTTGCATGATCTGGCTGACACTTGCAGACCTCTCCAGTGTTATCGTCTGTCCTTTTCCACTTGTACCCAATACTTCTGCCCACAGAGATCTTCTATCTTCCAGCCATAGGGGACTCCAGACAATTTCGTGGCACTCTCCGCTCTGTGTCTTGCCTCCTAGCCTTTGCCCATGCAGTTCAGGGAGGCAGATTTGAGCAGAATCTTGACTGCTGAAGAAGAGTTCCACACTGCTTCCTCTGTGGAGACCCTCTGCCCCCCACAGGCTGTGCTTAGCACTCATCACACTAGATGGCAAAGTCAGCCGCCCCCACCAGACATGACCACCCCACGCAGCCAGCCGAGGGGAGTAGACCTCTACCCTTACTCTCATCCACCAGCTACTTCAGCTCACCCCTGGTTGAGGTCGTTCTCCGTGTTGTCCAGCCACAGGCGAACGGCAACAGCATTGCCTTCCCGGCACTGAGTGAAAATGTCGTCCATAGCAGCGTCCTGGCGCTGGGTCCCCCCGATTGGGGAAGCCTGGGGACTGAGGGTAGGGGAGTGGGGGGATCCAGGGAAGGAGAATGAACCCCAAGCTTTGTCCTATACTGGAGAGAAGTGTTTGGGGTGGAAGTCTGAAGGAGTTTAGGGCAGCAGATGATCCCAGACTGTGTCCTCTGGGCGCAAGGGAAAGGCGGGTCCGAGCGGGGCAGGAGGTGATTAAGAAGTAGTTATCTCTTGAGCAGATGTCAGAGAGCAGGCACCGAGACCCTGCCCCAGAACAGAGCTGGGGGAAGGGAGGAGGTTCAGGCCCTGTATGCCCTGGGGGAGAGGATCGGGGGTCCTCCCGGGTTGGCCCCCGTTCCTTACTCGGAACTCAGGTGGAATGAGGGGTAACGGGTTGGCAGGGACCCAGTCTTGGGCAGGAGGGCGCAGGTTCTCTCGCACTCACCGGGACTCGGGGCTGAAGGTTCCTTCTCTGGGGAACTCCCGTCCGGCCGCGCCCGCCGCCCGGCCCCGCCCCGCCCCTGGCCCTCTCTGGCCCAGCGCGGGCCGCCTTCCCTCCCTTCCCACCCACTCCTTTGCCCTTCTAGCCTACTCCTGTCTAAACTCAATGGTTCTCTGCGCCGCGCCGGCCGCTCTAGCCGCCTCCGGCTCTCGCGCTTTGGTTTCCGGCTCCGCTCGGCTGGACGCTCCGGCTGCCAGACAGGCCGTGCACGTGCAAAGGAGTGCGGGCTCCGCGACCCTTCCTTCCAGACCCGCATGTTCGAGGAGCCTGAGTGGGCCGAGGCGGCCCCAGCAGCCTTGGGCCTAGGGTCCGTGACCTCACAGCCTCGGCCCGCAGCAGCCTCTCAAAGCAAGGTGAGTCGCCCCGCAGGCCAGTGGGAGCTGTTTCGAGCCAGGATGAGGACCCTGGTGGGTGCCGGGGTGCTGGGGGCCCGCCTTGTGTATGTACTGGGGGGAGGAGCACCTGTGGCATTGTTAGGGGCGAGCCCTGATCTGAAGATCCAGGAACTAACTGCCAGAAGAAAGTGACGTTGGAACTGAGAGAGAGTTGCTGAGTAGAAGTTGGAATTGAAGAGGGTTCCTCAGACAGGAAAAGCATGTGCGGAGGCCATGGGGCAAGACAGCATGTTCTGTTAGAGTCACACACAAAAAAGTGCTCTGTGTGGTTGGAGCACAGAGTAAATGAGAGGGGATGCTGTTCAAGTTGAAGTGGTAGATTAGATGTTTTGTATATATTAAGGATAGAGAGAAGCTAATGAAATGGTTTTTTTAGCGAAAGGATGGTTTCTTCGGATTTGTATTTTGTAAAAGTCATTAATTACAGTGCGGAATGCTTTGGAGAAAGTGAGAGTGGGTGACAGCAAACAGCTGACAGTATTACCGTTCAAGGGAGGATGTGGGGAACTGAGAACCTCCAAAGTAAGTGCTTGGTCTGTGACCACCCAGTAGGGTTTCAACCCAGAATCAGTCTCCTGGACAGTGCACCTTCTCCTTTGAGCCTCTGCAGATGTGAGAGCTTCTGTACTTCCTCAGGTTTTTCCTACCCTTTGGTTGGCTTCCAGCATGGAATCTGCCTGTTTTGCTCCCTCTTTTTCATCCTCCCAGCCCATTGCCATAATCCAGGCCACTGGCCTCTTTGTCGGCAGCTTCTCCCCTTCAGTTTGTTTCCCACACTGCAGCTAGAAACATATTTTGTATACATGTGTCATCATGTCCCTCTTGTGTTCAGAAACCCCTTATGGAAAGGTATTGGCTGGAGACAAAAGCCTGAGAAGGTTGGAACTCCTGGTGTTTGGTCTTGGTCCTTTTGCTTGTGGCCTTAGCACATTCCTCTGGGGAACCCCCTTTACCTTATGTGCACATTGGAGAAAGTGGGGTAGGTGGCTTCTCTATCCTCCAGCTTCCCAGATGTTGGGATGGTGACTAGAAAATTCATCTGAGTCTGTCAGGCTTCACAACAAGCTAGTTAATTTGACTGGGAAGAATCCCGATGACTCTTCTAGTGTTTGAATCAGGTCCCCATCTCTCCATTCTCATTCTCTAGGCCTTATCCATTCTCCTCAGCCCTGCCTTCATCCCTTGTTTTCCCCTAGGGCTCCAAGCACCGCCAGCTCCTGGCTACATTACGAGCCCTAGAGGCAGCATCTCTTTCCCAGCAACCCTCTAGCCTACCTAGCAGTGACTCTGAGGAGGAAAAGGTGGAAAGGATAAAGAAACGCCCCCAAAACACATCATTTGCCAGTGCCTCTGCTGAAGTAAGGGAGAAAAAGAAGAAGAAATGTCAAAAACAGAGCCTGAGTGCCTCTGAGGAAAGGGAAGTGGAAGGGAAGAAGTGTCATAAACGGGCTCTTCTTGGCAGTGACTCTGCTGAAGAAGAGAACAAAAAGAAGAAACGCCAGAAACATGCCCCTTCAAACCCAGCCCAGCACCTGAACAGTGTTGACCATTCAGGTACTATCTGATGTGTTTGTTGGGGGGAGAGGGGATCAGCTGATTCTACATATAGCAGAGGTTACTCACCATTCTTAGGACTGGGGCTAATGGTGTACTTAGTAAGAAGTACTTTTATCTCTGTCTCAAGGACAAGGGTATGGCCAGGATGACTTGTCAAGCCTCTGAATTTAGGAGATCTTGCCCCAAATACACCTTCCCATCTTCTTCCCTGCAGGTCCCAAAGCCTGGAAGAATAGTGCTACAAAGGACCCACCCAAGCCAAACCTTGATTCCACTTCCCCTAAACCCCCTCATACCCTGAGCCGCAGGCAGTGGCGGAATCGGCAGAAGAACAAGCGGAGACAAAATAACAAATTTCGGCCACCTCAGGTGGCAGACCAGACAGTGACCCAGGCCTCCAGGGAGGAGACAGATGTTCTTCCTCCCCACAGGCCAGACAGCCATGAGGCTCGTGCTGGGGCTCTGCGAACCCGCATGGCACAGCGGCTGGATGGGGCCCGATTTCGCTACCTCAACCAACAGCTGTACTCAGGGCCCAGCAGTGCTGCACAGCGTCTCTTCCAGGAAGACCCTGAGGCTTTTCTTCTTTACCACCGTGGTTTCCAGAGCCAAGTGAAGAAGTGGCCACTGCAGCCAGTGGACCGCATTGCCAAGGATCTTCGCCAGCGGTGAATGGGGGTTGGGCACTGTGAGAAGCCATGTGGGTCAGTCATGGGCTGAGACCAGACTAGTGTATGACCCCTCCCTTCCACTCCTAGGCCTTCGTCCCTAGTGGTGGCTGACTTTGGCTGTGGGGATTGCCGCCTGGCTTCAAGTATCCGGAATCCTGTGCACTGCTTTGACTTGGCCTCTCTGGACCCCAGGGTCACTGTGTGTGACATGGCCCAGGTAAACCTCTCTATGAATCCGGCTTGTGCTCTAGACCCAACCTCCCTATGCTAATCTCTTTAGCCCTTCCTCTTCCGCACTTGGGGTCCGGCCCTAGCACTCAATGCTGGCTTTCTCCTGACCCAGTATGCCTTATACAACACCCCCACTCTCCATAGGTGCCGCTGGAGGATGAGTCTGTGGATGTGGCTGTGTTTTGCCTTTCACTGATGGGAACCAACATCAGAGACTTCCTAGAGGAGGCAAATCGAGTGCTGAGGCCAGGGTAGGAGCCCCCAGGACACAGATGCATTATATATAAACATGCATGTGTCTGTATTTACATAGGACTTTCTGCCCTTCTTAGGGGTCTCCTGAAAGTTGCCGAGGTCAGCAGCCGCTTTGAGGATGTTCGGGTCTTTCTAGGGGCAGTGTCCAAACTGGGCTTCAAGGTCATCTCCAAGGTGAGGGCCCCAACAAGTCTATCCCTATTTATATTCTTATGTTTGTCCCTTTTCAGGGTTATGGTGTTTGGGAAGGAGACCATAGGCACAGGGACAGACATTTTGCTCAGTGCAAGGGGGAGCCCAGGGAAGCTTTCTGAGCAGAGGCAACATGTGGAGGGAAGTGTTTTGAAGAGTTGGAGTGAGGATTTGGATCTCACTGGATCTCTTCTGCCCCTAGGACCTGACAAACAGCCACTTCTTCTTGTTCGATTTTCAAAAAACTGGGCCCCCTCGGGTAGGGCCCAAGGCTCAACTCTCAGGCCTGAAGCTTCAACCATGTCTCTACAAGCGCAGGTGACCTCTGGACCTCCCTTGAAAGGAGAGGCAGAACTTGAACTTGAGGCTCAGAAGTCTGAAGACCATGAGCTGTAACCTGGTACTACCCTGCCTCCATCCCAAAAACAAGGTGTGCTAAAACCCCTGGTTTAGCCCTGCTCTACTGAAGGCTTCTTTGTTACAGGAAACATAAAGTCACTTGGGTGAGGTAAAGAATAAGGAGTTTATTATGAGAACATTGGGATATCTAGGAATTATGAATCACCTTAGGTGTCATGAAAACTAGATGGTTTGTAATTCAAAGCACCTTTGGATTTGGCTTCTCTTTCCACCTGAAAAGCCACGTGGCCTTTCTGTCCTGGCATCTCTGCTCTCTTCTGATCTGTCTGCAGACCAGCTTCCCATAGCTTACCCATAGCTTCTGCTCCTGCAGCTTCAGTCTGCCAGGCCTTCAAGGATACACAAAGGTAGCTGTTGCTTTTTGGCTCTGGGGTAACTGGTGTCCATCAACATCCTGACTCAACACATCAATGTGAGCTACCAGGTTAAGATTTGGGATGTCCCTGTACTAAGCATTTCTAGTGCTTCATCTTTCCCCTCTGCCTTCATCTCCATCTTTGGCATCATGTACACCAAACCACTCCTAACACCTATTGTCTTGCGAGACCTTGGGGTATATGTGGCTAATAGCATAGACTTTGGAATCATGTAGAACTGGATTCAAATCCTGGCCTGCCACTTAGAGCTGGGAGTCATTTAATCTCTGAATATCACATTCCTTATTTGGAAAATGGCAGAATTCGTGTCTTACTGGGCTGTTGTATTAGTTAACTGAGGAAATCCATAGCCAGGGCTGGGAACATGAGAGATCAATAAATTTGCTGTGGCTTTTTTGTGTCATAAGCCTTACTGTTCTTTGAAGACCTTTCCTAGGCTGGTTGGAAGTTGAAGGGTAAAGAATAGATTTGTTGACTAAGATGGGAGAGCTCAGGACAGGCCCTTCCACAGGCTTATGTCTTAAGATATTTTAGAGACTCTTAGTCTCTAGAATTTTGAGCTGTCCTTGGAAGGGGTAGTGAGGGAGCTGGGTCTCTGTTCATAAAAACTGCTTAATGCCATGTGGGGGTGGGAGGTTGGGCTGTTCATTGGCAGGAGTGTCTGTTGTTTCTGCCTGTTTTCTTTCTTATGCTCAGCAGGACAGCTGGGGTCTCCCTTCCTCCCATATTTATAATTTGGATTCTCCCTTTGCCTGTTCTGGCTCAGGCCACCTGAGTAAACATCTCTCTGGATCTGATGCAGGCCCCAGGCTTTCCTAGCAGCTCCTGTCAGTTGCCCTGATTCTGAAACAGAACTCTCCTGAGCTTGATCTGGGTCCTCCCTGCTCCATCATTGGCTTTAGG